CGAGCGGAACCAGGGCTCCAAAGTCTTTGCCAGAGATCTGTCTGCCAGAAAGAGCCAACTGTCAAAGCTGAAGACTGAGTGTAGCAACATCGTTTCCGGGACACCTGAGATTTTGAGTGAGATTGAGAGGTTCTATGGGCAGCTGTACACATCATCGTTGGAGCCACACGCAAGTGTGAGTAACGATCCAAGAGCAAGTCTTATCCGACACTATTCCGATGATATCCCGGACGTCAGTCTGAGCGAGATTAGAATGGCTCTCCACCACCTTAAAAACGGCAAGGCCCCGGGCGAGGATGGAATTACAGCGGAGCTTCTGAAAGCGGGTGGAAAACCGGTACTTGAAGTCCTTCGGAAGCTCTTCAATTCCGTACTCCATGGTGGCACTACTCCGGAGGCGTGGAGCAGAAGCGCGGTGGTTTTGTTCTTTAAGAAAGGCGACAACGCTCTCTTGAAGAACTACAGACCGATTTCCCTTCAGAGCCGCGTCTACATGCTATTTTCGAGAGTCATTACGAATCGTCTCGCACGCAGACTCGACGACTTCCAGCCTCCCGAACAAGCCGGTTTCCGAAAAGGCTTCAGTACCATAGACCACATACATACCCTGCGGCAGATTGTACAGAAGACCGAAGAGTACAATCTGCCACTTTGCCTGGCATATGTGGACTATGAGAAAGCCTTTGATTCCGTCGAAATTTGGGCGGTGCTACAGTCCCTTCAGCGGTGCCAAGTTGACTGTCGGTACATCGAAGTGCTGAAGTGTTTGTACAGTAGGGCTACGATGGCTATCTGAGTACAGAACCAGAGTTCGAAACCTATCCAACTGCAGAGAGGTGTAAGACAGGGTGATGTTATATCCCCGAAACTCTTCACCGCTGCGTTGGAAGACGTTTTCAAGCTACTGGACTGGAAAGGATACGGTATTAACATCAATGGCGAGTACATCACTCACCTTCGATTTGCCGACGATATAGTCATTATGGCAGAATCGCTGGAGGACTTAAGCATTATGCTCAATGACCTCAATAGTGCCTCCCAACGGATAGGTCTTAAGATGAACATGGACAAAACAAAGATCATGTTTAATGTCCATGTCACACCTATGCCGGTAGTTGTTGGGAGCACTATGCTCGAAGTTGTTGACGAGTACGTTTACCTGGGACAAATAGTCCGACTAGGTAAGTCCAACTTCGACCGAGAGGTCAATCGACGGATTCAACTCGGCTGGGCAGCGTTCGGGAAATTACGACATATCTTTTCGTCAGGTATACCTCAATCTCTAAAAACTAGATTGTACAACCAGTGCGTGTTGCCAGTGATGACTTACGGATCTGAGACGTGGTCCTTCACTGCTGGCCGTATGAGGACGCTTAAGGTCGCTCAGCGAGCTATGGAGAGGGCTATGCTTGGAGTTTCTCTGCGTGATAGACTCAGAAATGAGGATATCCGCAGTAAAACCAGAGTGATCGACATAGCCCAACGGATTAGTAAGCTGAAGTGGCAATGGGCCGGCCATATAGCTCGAAGAACCGATAACCGATGGGGAAGAAAGGTTCTCGAGTGGCAGCCTCGTACCGGTAGGCGTAGTGTAGGGCGACCCCCCACTAGATGGAGTGACGACCTGGTAAGACATGCAGGAAGTCGATGGATGCAGGTGGCTCAGGACCGTGCTTTGTGGCATTACTTGGGGGAGGCCTATGTTCAGCAGTGGACTTGTGAAGGGCTGTAATGATGATGATGAGAAAAAAGGTAGCGATGTTCAAATAAACCAGAGTATACTTGCAATGCTTTACTAAAATATTCACCAACTCTGTTTTTGAAACGAAACTTGTTGGAAAATATTTTAATGTAAAGAGGTATTTCGTTCCAGAGTCTTATAGTCGTAAGAGAGAAAGAGTGCGACATATAACCAGTACGATGTAAAAGCGTAAGCAACTTTAGATTTTTCGAAGAACGGAGAAAAAAATTATGAGTATCTCCTAGGTTTAATTAAGCTTTCTAGAAAAGTCCACTCTCGAACTTTCTGCACTTAGTCGGTCGGGACTGGTATTTGCTGTAACATTCTGGATGTTTCGGTAGAAAAGGCGTATTTATAGCCGCTGTGGGCCGCGACCGGGGCAGTATTAAAATTGGCGATACGAGCGAAGCTTTCGGAGTGAAATAAAGTGAACTAAAGTGTTAAGTGTGAATAATTATTAGTGTGATTTAAGTTTTAATTGGTGTTCAGTAATTAAAGTGTCAATTTTCGTAATTCAATCGGCAGTTTTTATTGTCACGAACCTTAAGCTCGCAACAATACAATAATTTACCCAAAAAGCTGTGTAGACATCGATTCACTAGTTCTCCGGGCATTACACGTTTATGTACTTTAATGAAAGCAGATATCATTCTTGTCTCGGAATCCGTTTGAGTATATACAATACTACCCTATTATCTCTTTCTGTATATTCTTATCAACAGTGTGCCTATTGTGTTCAGGACTTATTTCGATTTAGATTTACCCACCATGAAAACCTAAGGCTATTGTTTTTAAAATCATTCTTAGTTTAGTAGATAAGATAGCACAGTGATACCTCTTCCTTGAGATACAAATCCAAGCACAAGCATTACACCGCAAGATTTTAAAAGGATCTGTATGCTCATTATATACAAATTGGCCAAAAATTCGTTAATTAAACGACATAGGGAGATACACGAGGTCATTTCAAACAAAAATATTTATACAGAATGGCCATAATTAAATTTCCCTAAAGGTTGTGAATAATTATGTTTTCTTTAAATAAAATACCGAGCTCTTTTATAATTAAACTAATTTAAAAAAGTGATATAAAACAATAAAACAAATGATTTAGTATTATTACTAGATGATGTATCAGCACTACAAAAGATCTATTGCGGCTCCGGATACCAAATTTTAAGAGAAATTGATTTATTTCGTAGACAGTGCAGCTTATCATTCAAAGAAATAGATTCCACGCTTACCAAGTACAAATAGTGCAAGCTTTGCTGCCCGCTGACAACGAACCTAGAGTGAGATTTCGCAGAGAGATAATAATACGCCACAGAGAGGATCTGCAGTTCTTCAACAAAGTGTTATGGACGGATGAGTCAAATTTCAGAAGAATAGGAATATTTAATATTCACAATTTACACTTCTAGTCCAGAGTGAGCTCCCATATGATAGAAGTGATAGATTTCAACATCTGTTTGGTATAAACAAGTGGGCTGGCATAATTGACCAGCAGTTGGAACTACTACTCTTGTACAAACGAGGAGCGGAGTATTAACTTACCAATCGAAATATTGAAATTTAATAACTTTCGACGTGTCTATAAAGTTTTGCGACGTGATTAAGATTTATGTAGTAACAGTATGCCATAATAAATCATAGCTTAACAATTACTGTCACTTTACGCTGAAATATGATATATTATTATATATTATTAGAATAGTATTTAGAAGAAAATCCAATTTATTTAAACTTATTTATGAAACCCCATGTTGCGTGAGTTTTATGGCATCCATGCTCGTAGGGAAACTGGATTAACATCCTGGTGTCAAAATTCACCTAGGAGCCCTTTAGTATTATTAAATATTAATTATTGGTGCAATCTATACTGTCTCACCAAAAGGTTACAGATCAAAGGAAATAGCGAGATACAGGAGATCATTTCCAACAAACAATTTTTCAACAGCATGGCCATAATTCAATTGCCCTAAAAGTTTTGAATATTTTAGTTTTCTTTGTATAACATACATAGTTCTTTTACATAACATAAACATAAACACTCACACCTGTCACCCAGAGGGGTAGGCAGAGACTACAGACTTCCATTTGGCACGATCCTGACACACCTCTCTCGCCTCCTTCACATCCATACACCTCCGCATACATGCTCGTCGGTTAAGGGTACTCCTAATTTGGCCCGTTATCAATAAATCGCCAATTTGGTCGATAAATTTTCGCCTAGGACGTCCCTTTCCGACTCTGCCATTCACTTCTGCAACATAAATTTTCTTTGTCACTCTTTCCTCATTCATTCTTTCCACATGACCAAACCACCGAAGCATTCCTTTCTTAATCCTGGTCACAACATCATCTTGCAAACCACACTCTTCTCTTATTACACAATTTCTTACCCTGTCATTAAGATTCAGCCCTAACATACTCCTTAACGACCGCATTTCTACTGCGTTCATTCCACTCTCGTGCTTCTTCGGCCACACCCAACTTTCACTACCATACGTTAAAGTAGGGACCAACACAGCATTGTGAATTGCCATACGTGCCTTTTTCGACACATTTTGACTCTTCACAATAGAGTGCAGGGCCCCATTTACTTTATTTCCCGCAGTTACTCGTCGTTCTATATCCTTATCATATCTCCCATCCCTGCTGAATACGCAGCCCAAATATACAAACTCATCTACTTGCTCGATCAACTCCCCTTTTATTCTTATTTTACAAATCGTTTTTCTTTCTTCTCTTTCAAAAACCATAACCTTCGTCTTACTTGCGTTCACTTTCATACCCCTTTCTTTTAATGATCTGTTCATTAATGTAACTATCATTTGCAACTCGGCCGCCGACGACGCAAGGATAACTTGATCATCGGCGTACAAAAGGCATTTGACGGTTAACTACCCATTCTTAATCCGCATTCTTCAACTTTCAAATTTTGCAAACAACTGTCCATAAAAAAGGTTGAACAGCCACGGGGAAGCCACACAGTCCTGTTCTTTTACAATTAGACTAATTTAAAAACATGTGATACAAAACACCATAACAACAATACAACGATATTGTATTATTACTAGATAATGTATCAACTCTGTAAAAGTTCTATTGCAGCTCTGGGTACCAATTTTAAAGAGCAATTAATATTTTTCCAAAATGTTTGAAAAGTTATCAAAATTTTTTCTCACTTTAAAAGCACACTTTGACAAAAAATGTACTACGGAAAAGTGACTTTATATCAGAAAAGCTTGCTAACTTAATGCCAATTCAACTGGACTATTTAAATTTTTTACAAAATAATTTGAACCAAACACTCTACGAAGCTGAGGTTCCAGAAGACAGAATAACAGAAATGTGGCTACAGCACGACGGCGCCCCTCATTATACACGAGCAGTTGGAAAACATTTGAACGAGCGCTACCCCAACCGGTGGATTGGTCGAGGCGGAGCTATTATACCGATCGCCCGATCTTAACTCGATAGACTTTTTCTTTGGGCCTATTTCAAAGACATAGTCAAAGAGATAACAATAGCTAATAAGAAATACGACAAAAGCTCGAGTTTGCTAGGGTACACATTATGAACAACAGAGTTGCATTCCTCAGATTACGTACGAATTTTATTAGGTGGTGCAGATTGTACATTACAATCAGAGACAGAAATTTTGAACATTTAATGTAAAAAGATGATTGAATAAAAAATTAATTACTCTTAATCGTTGTTCCTTTTATTTCATGATGGCATCTGAAATTACTATTAGCAAAAATCTTAATTTTCTGTTAAATTTACTATTTTATGAATTTCAACCTTTATATGAAAAAACTATCATTAAACCTGAATTAAAAACAAAGAGTAATGTGTTACACCTAATTTGAATTGGTATTAAGTTAGCAAGCTTTTCTGATATAAAGTCACTTTTCCTTAGTACATTTTTTGTCAAAGTGTGCTTTTAAAGTGAGAAAAAATTTTGATAACTTTTCAAGCATTTTGGAAAAATATTAATTGCTCTTTAAAATTGGTACCCAGAGCTGCAGTAGCACTTTTACAGAGCTGATACATTATCTAGTAATAATACAATATCGTTGTATTGTTGTTATGGTGTTTTATGTTTTTAAATTAGTCTAATTGTAAAAGAACTATGTATGTTATACAAAGAAAACTAAAATATTCAAAACTTTTAGGGCAATTGAATTATGGCCATGCTGTTGAAAAATTGTTTGTTGGAAATGATCTCCTGTATCTCGCTATTTCCTTTGATCTATGACCTTTTGGTGAGACTGTATAGATTGCACCAATAATTAATATTTAATAATACTAAAGGGCTTCTAGGTGAATTCTGACACCAGGATGTTAATCCAGTTTCCCTATGAGCATGGATGCCATAAAACTCACGCAACATGGGGTTTCATAAATAAGTTTAAATAAATTGGATTTTCTTCTAAATACTATTCTAATAATATATAATAATATATCATATTTCACTATTTAAAATAAAAAAAAATAATTACTCATACCTACAAAATTTCACTATTTACGTCAGCGTAAAGTGACAGTAATTGTAAAGCTGTGATTTATTATGACATACTGTTACTACATAAATTTTAATCACGTCGCAAAACTTTATAGACACGTCGAATGTTATTAAATTTCAATATTTCGATTGGTAAGTTAATACTCCGCTCCTCGTTTGTACAAGCTGTCTAAACACGCTAAAGTGTCTTAAGTTTTCACTTAGTTTCATAATTGCGTATGTTAATATATCTTTTACTGAAATTGAATTCTAGAAACTACAATTTTTATATTCAATATCAATTTAAATGACAAAGGTCAAAGGGTTTCTAATGTTGTTAACCGGAGACCCTTTTTACTGGTAATGAGGCATTTCATCTTAATCTTCAAGGGTGATAACCCATCTGCATTTTCTTCTTAATCGGGGATAGATGTAGATGTTTATCGGCCACAGCATCCACTTACCGTCAGTTGGACTGTGCCCTGGTTTGTTACCCATATTCTATAAAAAGTATCTATTTAAAAATGATAGTGCGACGTACATAGGTATATCCCACAGCTGGGCGTGGCTAATGAAGTGAGAGTTCTCCAACATGTTTATTACATGACCTCAAAATATTTTCATATCGCAAAGTTTTCAAGGAAAATTCTCTTTTACTGTCGAGCTTCGAGCGACTTTACTGAGATGAATAAGCTTATGTGCATCAATTTTATCTGTTGGATTAGAAACTTTTTACTCCCGTATATAAGTTTCAATTAAACTTCTAGCTCTTGAGCTACGACGGCTATTACTTATTTATTTATTAGATTTTTTACAATATTAACATATTTATTCTGCTAAGAGACCAAGTACGATTGGTATTCTTCTGGGGACATCAAAAACCATGGTGAACTGGATGACCTCACAGCAAAGCAACTCCTGCAATTTATTAAAGTGTATGGCTTAGTGATCTATAGCGAAAGCACCGATCGCAATAGATAGATAATACAAAATTTAGTTGTACTGATTTTTTTCATTCATTCTTTAATTACAGAACTGAATTGATATCAGGAAGTCGTATTTAGTAGTAGTAGGTAACCCTATTTCCTGTTTCATTTTCCCTCTGTCGCCTCTTTTAACACTCACTGGATGATATGTGGTAGAGGATTTTCTTAAGCCGTCACTACACGGTACAAACAAGCACGATTACACGAAAGCTAGCAATTATCTTTTCGAGCTGCATTGTCTCTTAGTTAGTTAGACTGACAAGTATATTTGTCATTTTCATGTTATAAATCTAAAAATACTTTGAATTCTAACATGAAACAAACTTCATAGAAATGAATAAGTATTGTGTAAGTAACATTAGAAGAACTATGACTATTTTTCATATCATAAATTAATATTCCAAAGAAAATTCGCTTCGAAAGGAATCGTCCATTGTTAGTATTTTACGCTCACTTGACCTTACTCACTCACTTTACGCTTATGCGAATTTTTAAATTCAATAAGTTGTGAAAGGAGACGGGCAAAAGTTCATAGCAAGTTGGGTCTGATGTTACAGTGACAATTACTGCATTATTTTATTTATATACCAATACAATTTAAAAAAAAACTAAAATGCTTACGACTGCTTCATGGTAGAAAAAAAAATAGGATGTTATTGGTTTGTATAAAAACAATTTTATTGCTTATGTTATGCTTACAATGTTATTTTTACACCAAGCTCTCACATTATACTTTAAGAAAATAATTATTAGACTTTATTGTAAACTAGACTTTATCATAATTTTGTGTATTGTAGGAAATTCACAAATAGAGGGCTCAGACGCCACCGCGCCGTCCAATTAAATTCTAGAGGTTTGAAATAATTATAAAAAGCAGAAGGAGTATGAATTAAAAACACTTTCTTTAATGATTTATTAATCATCCACTTCATCATAAACAAATAAAATGTCTTCTAAAAAAGGGTGCACGCGGTATTAAATTCTCTTGATGCCTTGCTCAGCTTAGGTGCCATATTATGGACATTACATGACAACAGCAACCTACAGTTCTTTTTCCTACCAAGCAATTAAAATAATACTGTTTGATGACCTCTCTACCATTAAGAGAACTGTCAACTAAAATATATGTAAAATATAAAATATGTTTTTGAGCTTAAGTATGTCTCGATTTTATTCGACCTCTTAATAGCCAGCTAGAATGGCTGGATATTAACAGTTCTCTTAGTAGGTTGCTGTCCATTTCTCGACACACTTCTATTTCATATCTCCCATCTTGTCGTATGTGTTCTCCATAATGGGACCTAGCCTACTTAATTTGATAAATAAAAGTAAAAACAAAAGTAAAGTTACAGCCTATATACATCCCACTGCTGGGCACAGGCCTCCTTTCATTTCTGAGAGGGTTTTAGGGTAAGGAAGTGTCCATCGCACTGCCCCAATGCGTGTTGGCGAACTTCACATGTCTTCGAAAGATTTTTTTTTCTTATTCCTCAGACATGCAGGTTTCCCCACGATGTCTTACTTCACCGCCAACCACGTGGTAAATCAGCACCTAAAATTGCAATTAGCAATTTAATTGTTGCCGGCAGGGATCGAACCCGGGTTACTCGCGTTCTGTTAAATTTACAGCAAGCGTTAACCATCTGAGCTACCACGACTCTATATAATTTGATAAATACCTAAAGATATTTTCATTAAATCACTATGTGTGAGCTGGGGAAAATTATTTAAGTTATCATTTTGCACATGTAGTCTTGTAAAATCAGAAAAGAATCCTTTATAATCCGTCAGAATCCTTTATACGTAGCCAGAATCGTTAAATATCAGAATATTATTACAGCACAAAAACAACAGAAAATATTCACTACCACCGCAAACTCAGAGCCAAACTAACGTCACAAATGATTTGATTGACGTTTGAGTTTTTTAACTAACGTTGACTATTCCGCTTTGTTGCCCGTATAAAACATTGATAATCGATTGTGAAATCGATTTATCAATCTATTCATTCAATTTATTTTTACGACTTTTTTGAAACGTTGAAGTGTCACGAGGAAAGCATTATTTAAATAATAAGTTTCTTAAACTTATCTAAAGAAGAAAACACTGAATCACTTTTTATTATCTTTTTTATTTTTGTATTAAAATCAATTTACTCATCCGGTAGCATTGTTTAAAATATAAAAATAACGGAAGTCAGTGTTATTTTTATTAAATATTTAATTTCTTTTGCCATGATAAAATTGCTTAATACTACATTATTAACTACAACAAAAAAACTGTAAAAACATATTGATAAATATTTCACTTGTGTAACGTTAGGCCCAAATTCGCTCGTCTCCTTTAACTATGCCAAAGAATTGCTTTTATTTTTAATAAAAAGATCAGAAATCATATCATGAATATCTTGAAGATAATGACAATAATTTCTACGGTCAATTTTTATGTGATACATATTTATGATATTGTTACGAGCTTGAGGTTCGTGACAATAAAAATTGCCGATAAAATTACCTAAATTAACACTTTAATTTACTTTACACAAATTAAAGTTAAAAACACTAATAATTAAACACACTAATTCACTTTATTCCGCTCCGAAGCTTCGCTTGTTTCGCCAAATCAACACTACCACGATCGCATGTTGCAGCGCCTACTTATTTAAATTAGCAAAGAAATATCCAGAATGTTCAAGTAAACACGCGCAAGGTACCGAGCGTTCGAGTTTCGACTAGGCGCTGTCGTTTGAGTGATTTGTGATGTCATTTTCTCAATGCTCCCCTCGCTCTCGTTCCTGACACTAGATGGCGCTAGTGTATCGTCGACTTGAGCGCGTAACACTGCCCCCTCCTAAGACATGCTCGTCCCGAGCATTATCGGCCCCATAATAACGCGCCAAGCGATTCACATAGACGATCTTAGGAGTCCCTCTTGCGCCTTTCTGTAACGGCTCCGCAATGTCAAGGGCTGTCCTATCCC